GAAGATGTAAGAAGGAGACATTCGAGGACACTAGGCATGCCAGAGAGTATGCAACGTTGAAGAGACGCAGACAGAGAAGGAGAAGACACCCGACGACACACCCAGCAGATGGTGTGCTCCGAGGGGGTAAAAGGTGGTTGTTACTATTAGAGGTTTTACGGTAATTATTTTTCGTAGTTTAATCAACTCGTTGAAACTAGATTAAAGCTTTACAGCCTTTCTTTAGTATTTTAAAATGAAAAAATGACATTAAATTATGCATTTTTCAATCACTTCAGTCTAAAATTTGGTAACTGTCCCGAATTTTTAGCTTGGTTTCGAATTTTTTCTGTTTCATTCTCAATCCAAAAGTATCGTGATTCTTTTGTTATATTAATAGATCTACCCTAGCAAGATTTGAGCTTTATAGCGAATTTTAGTACTTCTTTAAATAAAAAAAATTGGAGGTAAATATGCATTTTCTAATTCAATTTGTCCAGAATTGAGTATTTTCCTCCAAATTTTAGTTTAATTCAGAATTATTTCTGTTTCATTTTTCTCTAAAATATTTGGGATTATTTTGTAGTTTTATTGGCTTTTTATTTTATAACAAGTAGTGATTTTCAAAAGTTTTAATTTTGGGAAAAATATTCCGAAAGTGTTAATATTTCTGTTATATTTGTTGAAAAAACACGTTGCTCTTTTTTACAAAACTTTGAAAGAAAATTGAAACAGAAAAAAAACATGTTAAAACATTTCTCAGGGCGAAATTAAGCTGAAAAAAATGCATAGTTAATTACAATTTTATGCTGAAAATTACTAGACACAAACAGGCTGTTATTAATTATACAGGAATTTGAATTTTGTTTTTAAATAATATGAAACCGAAAAAAAATTAAAAAAAAAAAGAATTTTGAAAACTGCATAATTTTGGGCTAGAAAACAGGAAAATGCACATTCATGTAGTCCACAAAAAGTGAATTGAGAAGCTTTTATAGTTAATAGTTTTAAAAAATTCACCAAATTTTTTTGGAAAAAAATGAAACAAAGAAAATAATCCAGGGGAAAAATGCGCAATAAAAATTTACTGAGTTTCGTTTTAAAGGTGGGGGGACAGGAGATTTTACGGGGGATTTTTGGGGCCAGAGTATGCATTCTACCGTGACGGTGTACAACGCTTAATGTCACTCTGCGTACAGCTGTCGCCCTCGCTTTTATGTATGCAATCGGGCGACCGCTTTCTCTTTGCCCGTGTAGCTCAGTCGGTAGCGGCGCCGCACCCTCAATCCTCGTCCTCACAAGTTCAACTCCTCGAGGGACATATTTAGACGGAATATAGAGAACATTATTTTTTTCATGTCCCCCCACCTTCAAAACTAATTTTCCTGAAACAGATTTTTGGTGAAAATTACTTAAAATGGAAATAAAATCGAATTTCCTTATGGAAATTATATTTTGTTGTTTGAAAATAAAACTTCAACTAACATTTTATTTTTCAGCATTAAATTTCTGTTTCGAAAAAAGTCCGATTTTGTGGTAACTTTAATTTTTAGTAGTTGCTCAATAATTTTTGGTCAAATCTATATCAGATTTTTCGACTGATCTTTTTCTTCTTTCTCCCAGTATTCTTCTCCTAATTGCCCTCCACAATTTACCTTAATTAGTACTAATTAATTATCAGGTTCTCATCTTCACCACAAATGCACCAAAATTGTCCTTGATGTTCAGAAAATTCTAGAATCAACAATTTAGAAGAATTAAAACGGAGCAGCAGAATTCTACAAAAAATGGTAGAAATCATGAAAAAATCATCGAAACAGGAAACTGTCAAAGTGAGTTTTTTTTGTTGTTGGAAAATCTGAGAAAAGCATGAGAACTATTTTTTGATATATATTTGAAAACAGTGAAATTTTCAAAAATTTGCTGTTTCAAAATTTTTTCTGAATTTCTGATGAGTAGAATTCGAATGATGGGTCTCCTTTCTCGTTTTGAACACATTCTTGAAAACTCAAATCTTTAAAAAGCCAAAATTTCAATGTTTCCAGGTCATCGTCAGATGTCGTCCCCTATCCAGTCAGGAAATCGCGAATGGACACTCAAAGTGAGTTTAAAGCTTAAAACATAATTTCTCGAACACTTAAAAATGACTCCAAATGGCTGAAAACCAAGAAAAGAAGGGCAAAAAATTCGGGGGGTACAAGGGGGTACAACTGATTTAGGGGTACAAAATTGGTGATTCGGGGGTACAAAATTCGTGGGTACAAAAATTCGGGGGGTACAACGATTCGGGGGTACAATCTACCAATGATTCTGGGGTACAACCCATTTCATTTAGGGGTACAACGCTTGTGATTCGGGGTACAATTTTTTTTGAGGGAGTTTCTGAATCCCTGAATTTCAGAGCTTGAAAATCTCAGAATTCTTAGAATTTCAAAACTTTGGAATTCCAGAATTCGGAATCTGAGAATTTCGGAACTTCAGGATCTGAGAATCTGAGAATTTCAGAACTTTGGAATTTCAGTGTTTCGGGGCATCTGGGAATTTAGGACGACAGAAAATTTTCACTTCTCATTGACACATTGTTCTTTTTTAAAATGGAGAACTGTAAAATAAGCTTGACAAGTTTTACAAACTCAGGTTATTAATGCTTAATTTAGGATTAAAACCCAGCCGATACTTTCCTCAATACCACTTTTTCTCAATTCTATTTCATTTCTCTTTGTTTCTCAATATTCCTTCGTTTTTACCCCAATTTTTCTCAATTTTCGTGGTAATTGAAATTTTTCTCATTTCTTTTCACAATTTTCTAAATCATTGATTGAAGTAAACAATCACAAATTAGCAATTTACCAACAAAATTAAATTCGAAAATCCCAAAAATTAGCCCAAAATAAGCTATTTTATCTCGAAAATTGTTCGAACAGGCAATAAAACATTGCAAAAATTATAAAATTCATTTTTTTCGATTAATTATCACGAAAATTTGAGCAAAAACGATGAAAAACGAAGGAAAACGGAGAAAATCCCAAAAATACAATTTGCGAGCGATGACGTCATCAATCCATGGCCGTGGCCGAGCTGGGGGGTTTTCTCTTCCATGGGAAAATTGC